ATCACATACGGAATTATTTTCGTCCTGCAATTCATCTCTGCCTCGAGTGTACTAGCCAGTAAATCGTACTTTCACTTCTTCTCGGTTTCCACTGCTATCAACCCGTCCTGACCGAAGATGAACCTCTATCAGAGTACTTCCTGTCGCTTCTTATCGTATACGAGGATGTCCGGTCTATACTCTCTTCTTCTAATGGCAGTTTTTACTCACTGATTTCCATATTTTCATTCGCGACGACCTCCTAAACAGAATGGCTTCGCAAGCGCGGGAATGCTTCCAGACCATACTTCTTGCAAAGTCCCGAATAGCACTGTAGAATTTCATTGTGTCTTTCCAGTATAGTCGTAATGTAACATTTTCTCACACTGCGTTGCTAGATGGTCCGCTGTCTTCACACGTTCCCTACAATGTTGGCATACACCCTTCTCAGCTTCAAACATATTTCTATCTTGGAGATTATAGTATCGTGCTTCATCTTGCGAGGTAATGCTTTCTATGGGCCATATTGATAAATCACCTATAGACGAGATTTTACTTGCTCTCATCTTATATAGCTTTCCAGAATAGTTTTCATTTATATTTCGCTTTACCAGAGAGCCTTCTGAGCGCTCATACGTTTGCGACGGTTGGATTTTCTATGAGGTTCTACTTAGTTCCTTGGTGTAATAATTGCTAAGTACGTATTGTGAGCCTTTTCCTACCTCGAAATTGCTTCTTTTCTGGTAAATATGGGCGCCATTTCTACAAGTACCTCGTAACAAATGCATATGCTCACTCCTTTGTTCAACGCAGTGAAATCAGGTCCTTGTTTGTCTTTGTCAGGTACAAACTCTCCAAACATGCAGGTTGACTGTAAATTCCGTATTTATTTAAGCCAGTTTGAGCACCTCAGTATAATAGTTTATTAAACCAATGGCATGCTAATTTACTGCCTTGATAAGGTTATTGTAGTTCTGGCTAGTCGTTCAATTCTCGCCAAAATCTCTGCTCGAACTTTATCATAGCTTTTGTGGGTAAATACACTAGTTCTATCTTCATTATTCCAAGGTATTGAGCTCCTCCCAAGAGTACCGCATCAGCGCATTCTCGACTAGCACCTAACTTTGCTAAATTCACCTCTTGCCCTACAATTTCAGAGAACCTCTGGACTTCTGCAGTGACCGCTTTTATGATATCCTCGTCGGTACAAGGAGCTTGAGATCATCCACAAGTAATAAATGGTTCGCTACATGCATTCCTTGATCATTGGGGACCTCCATCTTTGGCTATCTGAAATTTAGCAGACGGCTAAATAAGTCCATGTATAAAACAGCAAATAAAGAAAAGCTGTGTCTTTGCAGAATTTCCAGCTGTACTTTTTTTGTATTGCTTTTCAATGTAACTGACCATCTGGAGGTGATCCTTCTCAGGTATCTGCTCCTCCACGTTGGCATATTGAACTTTTCAGTAATTTATCATTTAGTTGCTTTTTTAACATCATATCACGTAGTTTATAGCTGGTTTCCATGCTCTCTGCATACCGTCAGGCTCAAGAGTGCTTGCTCTTTCGCGCCTTGAACGTGGTCAACAGTTCTTAATTGGTTGTGTGAAAGTATACTTCTCGGGATAATATCTTATTACCTGACTCGTCCAACATTTGGTTGCCAACTTATAGAGATTCAACACGCAGGTTATTGGCCTGCAATCACTACCTTTTGGAATCAGATATCGTCCCTTTGTAGAACCAAAAGTCCTGCTCCTCCCTATCTGAGCAGTACGGTTTGTTATTTTGTACAAATGTGGATGTAAGGAGGTGCACTGTCTAATCAAGAATTTATAGACTCCATCAGGGCCCGCCGCTTTCCGACTGGGCAAACTACTTTCCCAATTTGGCTTCAGATGGGAAATCTGGAGCGAATTCATCCAGATATTCGTTGTACCGAGTGTTAACATCTGCCATTTTCGTGTTCCACATTTTGGCCTAGAACTCTCTGATTTCTTCTGTCTCTACATTGTGGCTAATAGGCTGTTCCTCGGTTAGTTTACTATTAAACCGCTTTCTCAACAGCTCTGGCGTATTACATTTTGAATGCACAATGAGACTCATAATTGCTTAACTTTATTAAATTCTCATGTCAGCATGCTTAGGCCCACATGACAATCACGTTTGAGAGCAAATATGAGATTAATGCTCCTCATATACTGCTTTCAGTTTTCCACTTTCAAGTGTTTTATCCGCCAAATACCGCTCTATGAAGGTTTTATTTACGTCTTAATAAAAAATCTTCTTTTAATGCTTGCCTTTCATTTCGATGGCTTCATTACTATGTCTTAGCTTTATGACATTATTGTGTTACCTGGGGCTACCTCACTATATCAGTCATTGACTTGGCATATTCTCCCGCCACTTGGTTTTGTTTAGCACATTTCGAGATTATTTCCGTGTCTACTTCAGTCTATCTCAAGTCCTTAAACTTCTTGCATCAGGATAAGAGACTTCTGCTTTACGTCTAGATAAACCTTAGACTGCTCTGCGGGACCTCGGTTGCTGAAATGAGCACATCAATTGTAATTCTGCTGGTTCCTAGTTCGAGTATACTGGCAAAGTGCTCTTTTTCCGTAAAGGATGTAAAAGAGCACTTTATACAATCTCAACTGTTTCGTCGTTGTTTTCTACTGTGACTCTAAATTCGTGAAAGTCTGCTGTGATTGGAAAGTTGTTCAGAAAGCGTTTCCAGCCATTAGATAACTGATCAGGTTGAGTGCTGGAATGTTCTATCGTTTTACGCCATTTTCACCGTTCTGGCGTCGATGACGGACGATACTATTACATTTGTTGTTGTAACTGATTGCACTGGTATGTCTGTCACTCCATAAGCATCATGACATCGCCATGACAGATAAAAGTAAAACAAAAAAGGAATATATATATGTACATGCTGACACCATAAAAAAATAAAAAATGTGCAAATTTCAGATGGTTTACTTGGAGAATGTGTCGCCTCCGAAGCAGCTACTGTGATCAAAGTCAATCCTATTGGTAATATTCAAACAGATGTATTTCTTTCACAATTGGCAGGGTTGAATCGAGGAGGATATGGGCTCGAAGATGCACAAACTCAATGTCTTATAATCTACTTTAAACTTGTTCTATTACTAGAACTCGATTACGATCCTGAATTTTGCAATGTTCATAATCCAGAGAATATCTGGCAAATGTTGCAAGTAAGTTTGATTATTCTTCATCATTCGTTTTCCGTTTCAAGCTAAAATGTTCCAATGACTGAAAATATTTAATAATCTTATTCTTCAATAAGTCTATAAATATGGAACTGATGCTACACAATGAATAAAAAAACGATTTATAGATCCACTAAATCACAAAGCAATTCCTATTTGAATCTTTTATATTTGTGCTCAAATTGTGTCGTACTTTTTTATTCCGTTTTTTTAATTTTTCAGAGCCTATTTGAGCAGAATTGGATTATTTTTAAAACTGATAAATGTTTTGTATTTTTTTATTCAAATGAAATGATCAATCACGTGAGCACAAAACTGTAATGAAATGCGTATCTGAACTAAATCATAAAGGAATGGAGTGAATGCTCAACATTCTTCTACCTTTAAAATAACTTATTTTTTGAATTGAAATCCATATTCTTTGTTATGCTAGCTGAATTATCATTCGATTATCTATTGCATTCTATTCTGTTGACAAAAGAAATGTCACTAGGGATTTAGCCATCTGCATGTTAAAGTATATATATTCGAAAACGGACTTCACAAACTTCTAAATAGATACAAATTTAAGTTTCTTTGAAAGTCTTTTTAAACAAATCGTAGTCTCTTTCTTGCTTTCTTTCAAGAATTACTTGCTGATTTGACAAAGTTAAGTCTGTTACTTTTGGTATTGCTTAATGCTTGGTTTCAAGTTACACAAGGGTTACAAAGATTAAGCTTTTTGACGAGATCATCATTTTTCTAATCTGCGAATCAATATTTACGGTGAGTTTGCTACATTTTAAGCACAAAATTTATTGCATGACATTCGAATTTTGTAAAGAGTAAAGTAAGTCAAGCATAAATTTCTTTTCACTCCAGGCTGATAGTGAACTGTTTCACTTCTCATTCTGACAAGTTCATGAATGATAATTTGCAATAATAATGCCTGTTAATACGAAGGCAGTGGACAAAGTAATTACCAATGCACACTCTCAGTTTATTAAGCTTGAGAATGTTATAATTTGCTGAGCAGAGGAAACAAAGAGTGCTTTTTTTGAACTGATATCAATCTAGAATAAGTTGAAGCTTTAAATATTTCATGTTGAAATGGATATTTCTTTTTGAGGCACTAAAAATGGCATACTTTTAGTCAGTCAAATTGGCATCCATCAGCAGTCTTCGCAATATTATTTCACATCAAGGTATCGGTGATTTTGCTGGCGAAGAAACAAAAGGACAAGGTATTATTATTAACTGGCAGTCTTCTATTGAACTATTTGCTTATAATGCTGGAAGTTCAAGTTTGAAATAAATTTCGAGTCCTGGAGATTGAAACGCAGTCTAGAAAACTAATGGTTGTTTTATTGATTGGGTTTTAATATCAGATTTATTTAGTCCAGATGATCCCGGGAAGGATTCAAATGATGATGAATTAAATACTTTTATCCCGCTTTCCGATAATGCTGCCTAGTAATCAACAAGATTCAAGCTTCATTGTTACAGAATCCAAAAACAAATCATCTTAGTGACATTGAAATGTGCTGGGCATACATACTAGATATTATTCCCTTAGGCACAAGAACTTTTATATAATTTCGCTGGCAATAAATCAGGAAGACTATTGTAATGTATTATGAACTAATTAACATTATTTATTGTAATAAAAATATTTTATAGATTTGAATTTTTATTTAGCTCCTAGTCACTCTGACCCACTTGTTATATAGTGAATCCATAAAACTTGTAAAAAAAATTTGAATATAGTTAATTTGAATAATAATAATAATAATAATCAATAAATAAATAAGTAAATAAATAGTTTTCAATAAACAGCAATTGAATTTATTATGTGCTGAGTTTGTGTGATGGCACGATCCCATCGATTAGAATTCATCGATAATGTCGTAACAACTAAAATTGCGGTAGTTTGGAGGTTGATGAAGGGATTGTACTATGTATACCAGAATTAAAAAAATCATTAAAGTAGTTGATGATTCTGGCGAGGAAGAAGAAGAAGAAGGTTCATTAAATTTTTTGGGCCGTCAAGCACCAGTATTGAAAAAAGATATGGAAGAGGCTGGAAACCAAAGCACTGGTCAGTTCTGCATTTTATTTTTGATTATAGCAACTTTAGTTTGTGACTTTGGAGCCAATTAGATGGTTCTGAACCAATAAGTCTATGAAAATAGTTTTACAAAAAAGGAAATTCAATGATTTCAGCAGTCACAACATCAGTTGTTGGAATTTACTGTTTATGTTTCTTACTTGTTTTTGAGATATTTTGATTGCCTAAAATCTCTGGATTACTTTTTTATAAATATTTTTTCAGTTTTTTGTGCATGAAATGAAACATTGTTAATAAAAACTTTTACATATTGTTTGGTTCAAGTAGGACCAAAATAGAATAAGTTAATTGTTGAGTTCTCCTTCATAATTTCAGGTCTAGAAAAAATCGAGCATAAAATTGTAAAAGGAACTTTGCCCTATCAAAAAGTAAACGGTAATCGAATATATCTCAAAGTTGCTGAGGATTTCACTGAAGAAAAATTATATCACTTGATGGATTTTTTGGATCGACTAATTGCAGCACCCAACAAACTTATTTTTAGTGATTTTAAGTGAATGATTCCTCAATTTTTGTTGATTAGCAAGTTTTTGCATTAAATTCATTTCTTAAGCATGACATCATCAAATAGTTTTTGATTTCGATGAACTCAACTTGGTTACTTCACTCATATCAATGAAATTCCACGTAACTTCTGAAATCATTTCAGTGTAAGCAGTAATTACTTGACTCAGTGATGCTAGGGCTTTCCTAAATCCGACAATGATTCACTTCACTTCGCTCTCAAAATACTATTAAAAATCATTCGTGCTTTTGTTTCTTTTGCTTTCTATTTCAGTCGCCTGTTTTCTCTTCAGATTAAACGGAGATCAGTTATCATTTCGCGCTAGTCATTTGCCTCGTCTAAATACAAAAAACGAAAAACATTTGACTTCAGCAGAAAGCATTGCAAAGGCTGTTTGTAAGTTTAGCTACGATTTTGGTTTCGAAGTTTGAAGTTAAATTTTTTATTGTTTTGATTGCTCGATGCAAAAAATTATTGCAGATAAGAGACGAAAAGATATTCAAAAAATGTCGGGGGTATACGTTGATGAGACTGGTATCGGCAGCGGAGAAGTAAGTCAAATCTGAATTTTGAGAAAACAATGTTTTCATGAGTAGCACGCAATTCAAAAAACTTCTTCCTAAAAAATTATTGAGTGATAAATCGAGATCGAAGAATCTGAATTACTAATTTTCAACCATTCCATTCTATTTGCGCTTTTAAAATTTCAAAATGCATATTTTACGAAACAAGGAAAGTAAACACACTTTTTCTTAATCACTTAATGAGATGGAGTGGAACATATATTTTTTATTCTTGGGTTTTGGTCAGTGGTAATTAAAATCATAGCTAATAATAATCGAGATCGAAGAATCTGAATTACTAATTTTCAACCATTCCATACTATTTGAAAGGTTCTCTTGTAAATTGATGTAGGATTACAAAAATCATGTCATCAAAAATTCTCTATCGTACTGATATTATTTTTTAGATTATTTTTTCTCAGATAGATTAAGTTTAATTTTGTTTTCTTCAGTGATATTGTCACCATAATAATATTAATTTTCATAACTTTAGAGTTTTTTAAACTTCAGGAAGTGGTGCCAGTAGAAAGTGAAAATCGTGATCGTTTTTTTATTCCTGTTCTTGTTGTGAGTGCATTCACGATAGTGCTGTTGCTATCAGTGATGGCAGCTCACCAAATCTGGGAACATCGTAAGAAATCGCATAAAGTTCCAGAAATCAGTTTCAAAAATTATGGTGGAACTGGACTATTAGCTTATGAAGATTTATGTCGACATCGAATGAGTTCTCAGGAACCGGCTGGCAAAATTTCATCGCAATCGCATCATTCCAGTACATCGTCCTGGTTTGCTTCGCATTATTGGCATTTAATCTTGATGCTCGTCATAGCAGTTTCAATAACTTTAATTTTATTCTTTTTCATGTCTAATCATTAATCAGCGTGATATAAAAGCTTTGCATGAATTGCTGAGATCGAATGTTTAAGGATAGAAGAACCCGTTGGTCAATCTACTCTCGATATTTCAACCGGTCATGTCATTTTGGTATGTTAAAGCTTTCCTTATCTATACTTCCAATATTCATTGAAAAGATATCAAAACTAAACGCTTCAATCTTATATCAAAAGAGTTTAAAATTTTCAATTCATACAGTTTTAATTTAAAAATTTCACAATTTAGCATTGTTTATAAAAATAATTAATCTTATTAGGCTTATCGCTGAACAACACATCAACTAAGATTATTACAGATAAGAGTTTCATGATTTTGCTTATGCCGTCTCAGCTTTCTCTTAAAAATCAATTAACCGGCATTTGTAAAATTGTTAATTTTCGTCGACTGTGGATTATTTTTTTATAAAAAGGATACTTTTATTTTGGAATTTTCAGACATTCTTACGTGATTATTTGAAAGATGCGTCAAAAATTGAAGAAGAATGGGATACCCTTGATGGTTACGTGAATCCCAGTGGAATAGCATCAATTGCTGAGAAAGAAGAAAATATGGCGAAAAGCCGGAATCCGAATTGTCTACCATGTAATTTTGTTTTTTCATTTTGCATGTGATGTTGCCAAATAATATTAAAAACTAATAGAAAATAGGGTCGAATTTGAAATTGAGGAAATGTATAGATTTATTTATATTCTGTTAAAAAATGGATGCAACGCATGTGCATGTTTCTTAATTTTGCTCTTACATTTTGGGACAAGTATTGAGGCCTTTTAAAATCATTTTATTAATTTGTACTCAATAAAATTTCACTATGTGAAATCGCTTACACTTCTTCAAAATATCGTAGAAAATAAAGTCATTTAGAAAGAAAACTTTAGAAGAATGATGCTATAACTTTTATTTATAACTTCATCTCCACTATTTTTATATCTGATAAATTTTTCAAAACGTTGGTAATAAAAAAATGAACATTCTTTAGTGATTTCTCGTAAAAAACATTTAAGGATTTGCCTCATCGCAGCTCCATGCGCAGCATTTTGTTCAGTGAGAATAATTGTGCACAAATCATTGATATCTGTAGTAAAAACTAATAATTCATAAAAATTAATAAATTGCTCTGGTATTACTGATGATGACTGATTTTTCAGATGATGACACGTTAATTAGTATTCAGAGTATGATATCAAGAGCGGACACTTCAGCGTTTATTAATGCATCAGCAATTCATGACTGTGATCCGAAGCAGGCTAATTATATTGTTACACAATCGCCACTTCCGAATACTATTGCCGATTTTTGGGAGATGATTTGGGAGCAGGTAAACTAAACTTGTATGTCATACGAATTTCATGTAGCAGCTGATTTTCCACATTAATTTGAACTACCTTATGATGATATCGGGTTCACAATAACTTGGAAATAGTAAGCACACATTTTTTCGATAAAAATTGGTGATATATACTTTTAATTTTATTTCATGTATATTTTCTTATTCTCCAAAAATCTTTCTTGATAATAAATGTCGACAAATATTTTTCCTCTATAAACTTTATATGTTTCATCAATAACCACTAACTTCAATCACTAACTTTTTGCCTCTTTTTTTTCCTTGGCAATATTTTTTGGAAGAATACCTTCGCTTACTGTTCGCATTTTATAAAAATAAGATCGCGCAGAATTGAGATTTTATGCTAAAGCGTTACTGTTTTGATTCACCGAAAATTCAGTCTTTAAAAATGCTTGCATTTTGTGAAATAAAATAGTTATACGTTTGCAGAGACAAGCTCAAGTTTGAAAAATAAGATATTTTGTAAAGCTCTTTAGTCAAAAGTCAATACTAAGAAATTTACATCTTTGATTTAAATCGTTGAATTTAATAATTCAAATTATTATTAATGAAATAAAACATTATATTAGGCAAGCGAAATTACTCAGTATTTTCCTGCTTGAGAATCTGAAACCCATATTTTTAAATGCTGAAACAAAATACATATTGCATATTTCGGTTTTATGTAACTATGAACGTAAATTCGAAGAATTTCCGAAATTACAAGGATCAGAACTTGAACTGGTTTTCATAACAAAATATCAGCCTAGTCACAGAATTATTTCTACGTACTACTAAGTTATGAATTTCAGATTCACAATAAATAACGTGATATTTTGATCACAAAACTTTGCTTTTATTTAAGGGTACTGTACTAATCGTAAATTTGACAAACAACGGTGATCTTCGAGAAGGAAGATGCATGCAGTACTGGCCCGGAAGTGGCTCAGAAATTCAAGGATCTTTTGAAGTCATTCTTAGAGTTTGAAATTTTCAAAAGTTTTTGACTTCGTTAGTAGTGAAAAAAACAATTCAAGCAGAATATTCTTTTAGGAACACAATTTTTGCATCTTTAAAGACGAAGTAATAAAAAATAGTGCTTGAGTGACATTTTTCAAGTTTGATAAAGATTAGAAGGGATTCATTACTTGCATAAAACTTTATTTGTACATAAATTATCGTCTTTTCTCGAGCATAATGTGCAAAAGCTTTTTGTTTATAGATTCATTTGGTATCAGAACATATTTGGAGTGAGGATTACATGGTACGATCATTTTATCTAAAAAATTTAAAAACAAATGAGACTCAAACTGTAACTCAATTTCATTTTCTGACTTGGCCCAAGGATGGAGTACCGTTGAATACCAAAGCATTACTCGATTTCCGCAGGTGCTTTTTCTTTAGGCTTAATTTCCAAAACACTAGCATCTAATTTTGTGTCACAGATTCATCATATTAAAACTGTTTTTAAAATAATTTTCTTTCGAACTAATTCATATAAGAACAGAACAATCTTTTTGAAGGCAGAACTTCATCCGCTTTTGGTGATAAATAAAAGTACCACTACAGACTGAAGCTATAAAAAAATGAAAAATAGAAAAAGCATTAGAACAATTGTTGGATTGAAAAAATCGCTATCAAATGAAATTTTTACATCTCTTTTGATTCTTACTCTTACTCTGAATGAAAAGACGCCTTTGCTCGTCGATCATTTTTGTGAATTAGCAATTTTAAGAATGAAATAATTGCATAGTCACAAAAGTGATGGAGGGGAAGCGTCGCTGTACACAAGCCAATTTCCGTATTCTACAACATTTGGCACAAATCTGACCAAATTTAAAAATGCTGTTTTTCATCATCTAGTATATCTTCAAAATTTTTACCTTTGATTTTTTAGTTCAGAGGTTATTTTTTTGTTCGAAATTCTCTAGATAGCTTAGAAATTACTTTAATCATTCCTTACTTGTGTTCACTGGTTAAAATAAAAGAGCTGTTCAAAATGTCGATTCAGATCCCTTGTGAGAGATGTAGTTTTTGCCAAAAATGAAACTTTACTTCATGTGAAATATATGTCTTTTTCTTCAAACTGTGAAGTCAGTTTTGTTAGGCAATTTTACGTAAACAGAAATACTGCTCAAATATATATTCCACAAATTTTCATACGTATTTACCGAAATAAAGGTGTTCACTTACTAGTAGGAAGTATGTCTTCGTGAAAGTATCAGCTGTGCACTTAAGATTTCAAATTAATATCAAGCGTTTGAATATAAATAAAAGAAGTTTACTTTAGTTAGGTCTCACATTATGTTTGGAAATGATTTGATACTTTTGTAGGAAAGTTAACAAATCTTATCGCGGACGAGCAGCGCCAATCGTTGTGCATTCTACGGATGGAACTGGACGAACTGGTACATACTGTTTGTTGGACATGGTACTGAATCGAGTCACGAGAGGTATAAATGTATTACTTCATTAATTAATTCAAGCTATAATTGTTCTACCAAGTACCACACTTTGGTAAATAACTTTGGTACCTTTGGTCAATACACTGATTAATTCTGAAGGAGATTCAAATATGCTTCCATTTTTAAATGATTGTTGGTGAAATTATTTGTGAGATGATTATATCATTTGATATAGTATTAATGTCAAGTAATTCGACTTGAGCTGACTTCGTGATTGTGGCGTCCTTCATCCTGATATTGAATAGTTTGTCTTTTTTGTTTACAAACAATTCAGATGCTGATATTACTTATTCTATTGTTAAATTATAGAAATATCGCACTCGGACCAGAAAATATACATATCTATGTAGCAAATTAATAATTCGAACAATATTCATTGTCACTCAATTATTCTATAATTGCAGGTTTGAAAGAAATGAATGTGGCAAGTTCGCTGGAGCATTTACGTGATCAACGTCCAGGCATGGTGAAGACTTGCGAACAATATAAAATGGTATTTGTCTGCTTGGCGGAAGAAATTACTGCTATCGTGGCTGCATTATCTTAAAATGTGAATGGAAGCAAAAATGAAAAAAAAAAAGAATATGATTTAGTTTATAACGTAAGCTAATACATAAAGTATTGACACATCTTCCGATCCAGTACAATTTGATCAGTGATATTGTTCATGTTCCATTTTCGACTGAATACATGTAGTCTTCATAGAACCATTTATTTGAACTTTAATCACTAACCTATATTTAACGCTAGAGATTGATAAATGCAATATACAGTAACTGTCAGAGTGAAATTTCTTAATGCTATTGACTGACTAAGTAGTAATTCATAAGCAATATTTGCATTCACTTCTTTCATCCCAGCAGCACATAATTTGAAGAGTGAGGCAGATTGTAATCACTCTTCGATTCCTTGACTGATTCCTCTCCAAGCACTCAGGCAAGGCAGAAACTGAAAATTTTGTTTCACTGAATATATCATATCATCAAGTGGCAAGCGATTGGGGTATCCAATTCGTGTCATAAAGTCTCCTTAATCAGTCAGTAGTTGCAATAAATAGATAAACAAATTATTTACTTTATTAGTATTTGACAAATGTCGTATGTATGAGCCCTGAAAATAAAAGTACTGCTGATTGCTCTCAGTAATAGCATGTCAATTACTTTAACTTCACAAATAAGTTGCTAGTAGTTCGGTTTGATACACTGGGCATGAACGAGGCGTCAGCTGTTTACAGTTGGTTACTGGTCTGGAATGAAAACCCCTATCTCCAATCAGCAAGGATGATATTCCACTGCAGTTAACTGACGTGATGAAGCAATCTATTTCGATTGTGATGTATAAAAGTTGTGAGTGGAAAGAGTTCAGGGTCAAAAGAATCCAAATTTAATGGAGTAGAACTGTGGGATTAGATTATTTCTAGTCACTAATGTCCTTCAATCACTGGTAATAGCGTATCCAATTATTTGTATTAGCCACCAATTATTTATGACAAATCTAATAGCTGTTCCTCCTTCTTTGCAGTTTAGCTGCTTTTGACTTTTTTTTCTGCCAAGAAGAAATTATAATTGAACTTGGGATGAACACGTTGCACAAATGACTACATTATCTATGAAGTAGATAAAATACGCTCGAAGGAGAGAGAACAATATGTCTGTGTTGGAATTTAGTTGGTTGGATGTGGCGGTTTTGTTCTTCACTATTTATATAATTTACCATTTCTTTCTGAAAAAAACTACCCAGAAGGAATGCGAGCAGAAAGAGAAGACAAAGTCTCTTCCTCCCATGCATAAAAAGGACTTCACTGTGCAAGAGTTGCTATCTTTCAACGGTGTGGATAGTGAACGGATTCTCATAGCTCTTTGTGGAAAAGCAAGTTTTATTACAAATTTCTGGATTCTAGTTGCGAGTTTTCTTGTTGTTGTAATTTTATGTAAAAGGTCTGCTCTGAATCTGCCTTGGAATCAGTATTTTTTTCATCTTTGTAAAAAAAGATCAGTTTTTCAAATGTTAACTTTTTTCTATTCACGGAAGCATAACTGCTCTATTATACTTTCCGAATCAGTGTTTCGATTTGCAAAACAATGTTTTGGGATTATAATTGTGCAGAGTACTTTTTACAGGTGTTTGATGTCACCAGCAGTTATTTTTTCTACGGTCCTGAAGGTGCATACAGCAAACTGGCTGGTCATGATGCTACTCGAGCATTATGCACGATGAATATGGAATTAGTGAAAGATATTCCAGATGATATAAGTGACATCCCTGATTTGGATTTACATGTAGCAAAAGAGTGGTACCAGTCATTTATTTGTAAGTTATCTGCTGATCATATAAAGGAAAGTGAAGTCTCTTACCTTTGCTAAACAATTTTAGACGTTTAAAACTTTTATTAAATTATGAACTTAACGCCGGTACAAATTTAATGCCAGTAATTGCAGCATCCAAATTTATAACATATTCAGGAAACAATTAGATACTAGATTAAAAAAACAAAAAATATGTTTTCCGATAATTAAATAAGGATTTCGTTTATAAAGTCAGAACAGTAGTTTTGTCCTATCTTTCATTAAAACCATTTCAGTTGCCTTTATAAAATATCGCATGAAACTATTGAAGTAAATTATTTTGTAATGGTTAATTTCAGCGAAATATCCCGTTGTCGGTAAATTACTAGCTGAAGGTGAAGAACCTAGTAATTACGATGGAGAGCTGGCATCTTTATATTTTGCAAAATAAATTAGTTTGTTCCTTCTTAGACTTAATTGTAAAAAATATGAGATTGGTTTCCATTAAGTTATCAAACTGATAGCTGCGTTTTATTCACAGGAGATTGTAAATCTATTACATCAACATCTTCTTTGTAAAGTTATAAGAATTTTGCAGTTTTTATTAGATGAAGATTTCATTAAAACTCATTAGTTCGTTTCATATCCAAAAATTGTGGAAAAGTTGCACCACAAATATTTATAACCATTAGTTTTCGTAATTGCATATCCATCATACATGCAGTGTTTTTGTTTGCAATACCTTATTTTTAAAGTGGCTAGCCGTGCTTTTTTTAATTCCTTTCATATTTGTTCATCCATCATTTTCTTAAATGGTATGAAAAATGAAGAATTCATCATAAATATCATTCTCGACGGAATAAATAGAAATAAACGCATATCAAGTGTTCTTTTATTATCAGCATTTCGAAAAATGTTTCCCATTACGTTTTACTTTAACTCGACTTCAGATCTCGCTACATCTATTAGTGATGTTCTAAATTTTTAGGTAGAAACTTCATGTTTTGTAAATTTTTTTTCTGTTGAGTTGCGGTTGCGGTATCAATATGCTTGTTTTAAACCATTTAAATTTCAGTGTAAATCTATGGCACTTATGTATCCAATGCATTTTCCAACAGTACCGTTACGTTGGGATGAAGCAGCTTGGACAATACCATGTACAGATGCAATTGATGAGTTGTTACTCTCAAGGCTAGAATCTCTCATATCGATGAAGGTTTATTATATAATAGTAATTTAATGGCTCGTAATTTATGAACAGACTAATAATTGTCTTTATGTCGTCTCTCCATACCCCATATACTCTTTAGTGGCAAAGTATTGTCTTCTAAGTGCTGTTTTAGAAAAAACAAACTATTTTTTGGTAGGCTTATGTTTATTTTAGTCAAAAATTAGTCAAATGCGTGCAATAACAAATGCCACATCAGGAAATAACCTGATGCAAGAAGGTGATGATCTAGAAGAGGACGAGGAAGATGTGGCGGATGAAGATGATGAGCAGAATCAATAACTTACTTTATATAAAATTATGTTTTTTGGTTGTTAGTAATAAGTAATGAAGGAGATAGGTTTTTTAACAAAAAAAATCCTATTTGTATGTGCAAAATATTTCTACTCTTCCTTATAAATCTCAAATTTAGTGCTGGAGTAACTCATTTTAAATGCTTTGCATTTAAGATATCAGCCTCTTAAGCAGACTTTGAGTAGCTAGAAATTTAAAGGCGTTTGTTTCCTTTATTGCTTCATGTATTTTCAAAAATAAAAATCTCGATCTGTGAATACTAATCACTTACATATAAAATATGCATATAAGTTTCAAAAATGTTAAAGCTTTCAAAGTATTTGTTCCAGTTCACTGCTGATAATAAAAAGTAACGCAATAAGCAATACTATTGTTTTAAATCCCCATGTTAGTTTTTTCTAAATACATTAATATATCTTTGGTTGGTTCACATTGAATTAGAGTATATAATTGAATATGAGTGATGGAAGTAACCTATTAACAAAAATCTAAAATGAAAATGATCTAATAGAAAAAACCAGCAAGCAAAATTTAATATAATATCATGAGGAACAAACTATGTAATCAAAAATTTAGTTTCAGGCATTTGTCAACTGACGAAGAGATAAGTTTCACTCCATCTTTAGCATTTCTGGACACGGCTGTTATCGTGCTTTCATATTTATAGATTTCATTTTTAAAGTTAAAACTTCTTTTGATTGGTTAGGAGATGCAATAAAATAAAATGAGCACGTGAATATTTTTAACATCGAGATTGCATTATATCGGCACTCATTTTCATTAAGCTCTTCCCTTAATCACTAGGTAGGTATTCTTCAAACAATTTACGTATGTGAGCGAGATGCAAAAAATTTCAAAAAGATTATCATAGAGGTAATTATAAATGATTTCTACTGACATGTCTTATCTAACCGTTACACATTTCTTCTTTTCAAAATAGATCATAATATAAATGGTTTCTACTGACATGTCTTATCTAACCGTTACATATTTCTTCTTTTCAAAATAGATCATAATTTCTGTATTAAAACATCACTGGAAATCACATTGCAAGTAAAATTACATACAAAACTATATTCCCGAATCCAAAGAAGGTATACGACTCATAAAAGCTTTGGTGACTGATGTTGGACGATCATTATCACTAAGCATCGGGTCATGGTTCACCCCATAGATTTTGATTGCTTTACGACCCATTCGTTGCAGTAATTCACATGAAACTCGATGAGCGGTCCTCAGCGAAGTGTGCCATTCACCTAATGATATCTCGTCCTAAAATTTGATGCGTTTAATTTTTATAGACATATATTAGACTGACTAAAATTTCATTCATTATTTTGACAAATAAGACTTGTATTGAAAACTATTTTGCTAAAAATTTCTAATTTTTGACTAGATAAACTCGAATTTAGAAAAGATGCATAGGAGTCACCTGATTGGTAAGAATCAACTTCGCGTCTTTTAAGCCTTCCTTTAATTTTACAACTATCGAGTTTTCCCCTTTGACACTTTGTAAATCTGTTACATCTTCAATTTGGTCCATGAATAGTAACTAAAATGAATCACAAGAAATCGTAAAGGTTTTGAAGTTGGAAAATGACTTGTACACTTACGCAAAAGACCTGAAAAACTGAAATTAATTTAAAGCTGCAAATATCTTTCAAGCACAAAGTGATGTCGTTGTTTAGTTCCAGAAAGTGATTTACCTCGGGTTTGCCATTGAGTGACTCAGGATAAAGCTCAAGACGACTTGGGTACAATTTTCCGTAACGTGTTTGCCATGCAGAAGTGAATGGTCCACCAAGTTTTCTTATATATCCATGTATGATAACATCAGAATCTAAGCACTATCAAGTCTAGTGATTTTTGAAATTAGGTAAACAATATATTAGTAATGATAATTAATTGCCAAGCCACTTACCTTTTTCATCAACGCTGAGTTTAGTTCGAAACTTGGTGCGTTTCTTACTCTCAGCCTTATCAGCATCCTGATTTACCACCTCGAAAATCGTATCCGCGATTTCATTTTGCCATCGTTCCGAAATTGTTATATTAAAATTCTTGTACAATTCATTGTCACTTTCTGTTAGCTGAAAACAATAAACATATGAACCTACTGTTCAAAAAATAAAAATCACACTCGATTATGCAACTCATTTATTGCTTCCCTTATTACTATCACTGCTGTAATTACTTCACTACATATGGCATGGCTTGCAACTGCATTAGTACAGATATCTCAGCTAGCTAGCTAAACATTCCATAATCTTAAATAAAACTGAGAACTACACAACATTAAAATTCAAAAAAGTGAAATATGACTTATTAAGATAGATGTTAGATGAATTGCCTTTTTAGTATATTATCTTCATGCGCTTACTGATTTTGGTAGTGAGTATAACATTACAAGCAAATCAAAATATTTTTTCCTTGACCAAGATAAAATTTTATTATTGATTTCCATTTCTTGATAACTCGAGCAAATATCTGAGCATAAAGTTTTTAATGCAATAAATGAAAATTAAAGTAAAAATGAAACCTTACTTTGATACCTTTCACCTCGTCATCATCGAAATTCCCAATGTCGAATGCATCAGCAGCGTTCACCTCACCTCGAGGTGGAATGATTGGTGGTGGCAATCGTTGCAAATACACTTTCTGCCAGTCAACAGATGCAAAAAATGGATGCTCCTTTACTTCTTGTGGACTGTAAGATGCGTACATCAATTTTCTCAATGTGACACTAAATTCCAGAACTTTTTAGCTCAGTATTACGGTCAATCTGTATATAAACGAAATGACAGAAATTTGTGCCTATTCTACAGTGATCACGACAAAATTGATAATTGTGCTCACTGGACTTTTAAGACTGAATCGAATCAGATCCAACAACTAAATTTGCTCCCTGTTTCGGAGAACAGAGAGATTTGATATGCAAGCTTTGAAATAAGTGCACACTAAAGACATCCTGTCATTTTAGACCAGACAATTAATTGAGAAACTGGTTTTCATAATTTAGCACACTTTATTAGTTTTAATGTGTCTAAAAGAAAAATCGTATCCTCCGTTACTTCTGTAGACTCTGACGACTTTCAATAGCAATTATGAAACAAACCCTCTTCCTTGACAACCAATCCGATTCTGCACGTCATGTTTTAGTAAGCGTTCGATTAAGTCCTGACATTTCGGTGACAGACCAGCATCACAAAGTTCTATATCGTGATTAATGACTATTTTCTCCACATCATTCTTGTCCTGGAACATTGCTTACAAGTAGCTATTTTTAAATATTGCTATCATGTTTTTTATTTAAAAGTATCAATATCATAATAACTGAATATCCAAGCAAAAAAAAAATTACAATTACCTAGGAACTATAATAGAATAAATTAACGATAGTAAATAAGTAAGTTAAATTAATCATTGATATTATTTTCAAATACTAATTAAGAGAGAAGAGGGGAAGCTCAAGATGCTGCTTGATCTCAGTTATAAGAATCTTCCGCCTATTCCCAAGCTAAGTTTTGAACTTTTTTTGATTTGATCTTTAAAGCAATTTAAAGATATGCTGCAAGGATTTCAAGACAAGCAATTATTACTCATTTTGCTCACTGAAAAAACTTTTTCTCAGAAAAAAGAAGCACCAGCAGTTTTTTCTAGTTAAAAATATTTGATAGAGAGAAATTTTTTGGTAAGTATGGATTTTTGAAGAACATATTCCAAAATCTATTAAAAATTTTCAGAATTAAAAAGTTGAAAGCATGTTACCTTATTTCCAGATTTGGTCTTAGGATGCCGAAAAGGACTATGGCCTTTGAGTAGCTTGTATAACATACAGCCAAATGAATACCAATCAGCTGAAGAGTCATAAGCAACACCCTTGGCTAGTACTTCAGGAGCCATATAGCCATGAGTGCCTCTAAAATGCAATATGAGTCAAAAACTCTTTTAAAACAAAAACAAAAACACGCGATAAATAAAAAAGTGAATAACGTAGTGAACGGCTGAATAAAATGATAAAATAAGAAAAACCCATTGATAAATATTAAGTAACAATCAGAGCAGTATTTTTACAAACTTCATCTCAATAGCATTTTTAACTTTTTTAAATTATTAGTTTAATTCTCAGCACAAAAGCAGAAGTAGCAGCAGCAAAATAAAAGAGAAGCGCGAGCATGTCTAAAGAAAATGCTTGCTTCGCCACGAAAATACTTACACACTGGCATGAGGTTTCCTTCTTGAGAAATCACACGCTAAACCAAAATCAGAAACTCGCGCATGTCCGTTTTCATCTAGCAGAATATTAGCAGGCTTTAAGTCTCGATATACCACAAAACGACTATGCATATGTTCCAAGCCGAGGATGACTTCCGCCGCATAGAACATCATCTCACTTTCTGTACAGACAACTATTTCACGCTACTTCGTAACAGAAGAATATCAGATTTAAGCATGAAAGAAAAAAGTAAACAAACTGTCTATGATTAGATGAAAATTGAATGAAATGGTCAATAATGTGAAGAAAAAATATTAAAGTAATATTTTTGAGGGAAAGTTGTGCAGCTGTTTACGGCTTCCTAGTATCGACATTTGTGAGTGAAACTGTCAGTGACAAAACTAAAGAGAACCTATTAATGAAAATTTCACAGATAATCTGCTACTAAACAAACTATTTTTTTATGTGAAATTTACTGGAACTATGCTAAACTTAGGAGATTTAATTAGAAAAAACAAATTTTATAAAACTCCCATTAGAAACTTCGCATATTTTTTTAAGAAAGTTCAGTTTGAAGTGAAAACAAGCTTACAACTCTAATTAAAAATAATAGACCTGTAAATATGCCATGCTGACTGAGGTGGTAATGTAAATCACCGCCGTTCATAAGATCAAGAATAAAGCACAATTTGTCAGACGATTGGAATGCGTATGTCATGCAAACGATAAACGGACAATCTTGCTGAAAATTTGCAGTCAGTAAAATACTGTCATTGAGAAAACCTCACTTTATGCATAATCAAAAATTACTTTGAAACAAAAAGATTCTGCGATCTTACTACCAGTGGACATCATTTCTATGTGAGTTATGTAGAGAGCAAACAAGTATGCGGAAGAACTGAGCTCATTTTCAGTTAGAAAACTTATGAAATCTCTGTATTACGCCGAATTTTGAAAAAATACAAAGGTACGCCAAGAAGTCAGATTAAGAAGCCAGCAATCGAAGCAATTCATCTCCAAATATTTTCATAAAGTTCCTTGCTTAGTTCATGCTTACTTTTTACTTTCCCAACTACTTAATCCGCGGCATTATCCATAGCTTCCACATTAACAACTAACTTTAATTTTCAAAATATAAAGCACTTGCAGAAAATTTGCATATAATGAAGGTCCAAGAAGCAACAGGATTGCATTATATTGAAGTATGGTCACGAAGCTCAAATTCAGCTCATTCTCAGATGACAACAAAAATATGACACTCACTCCCGTGCTCACAAGACTGAGCATAATGCGTTCGTTAAGCGCCAACGTTTCGCCTTGTTTCATTTTGATTCGTTTTTTATCCAAGCACTTCATTGCGTACCTGAAATACATTATGAATTGGCTCCTTTTATATCTTTAATTTTACACAGCAGTAAACCCAAGTTTTTAATAGCTGTTATCTGATTCATTAGCAACATTCTTTAATTCTAAAAAGGAAAGGAAATGAATTGACAAGTATATATAATAAACAAATATTGATTTCGTTTTCGCTTTATTGATTCTGGCGCTGGGTCGCATCCAGCTCTTTGGCTGTACTTGTCTCGCGCTCAAATTTGTTGTGCTCATCGTTTTGGCTTCGTGCTCGTGGAATCCACATCAACTGTCGAAGGAGATGCTTTCGAGCGTTTTCTTGAGCACTATCGACTGGGTATATGCCTCAACGTGATCTGATATATTGATTCCCCTCCCGTAACTATTGTAGAAGTTTGTTACATTCTCAT